ATTTAGCACCTTTCACAAACCCAACGTCACTTTACATAACAAAATAGAAGAACTAGATTAGCAGAAAATTAAAGAGAGTGAAAATACTGGAACAAAAGAAAAGTCTTGAGTTGAGTTTTGAAAACAGTAAAAGATACAGGAGATCGAATTGAGGAGGGAGTTCCAAAGGTTGGGGGCAGCAACACTAAAAGATCTGCCACCAATAGCTGTGTCTTGGGATAACTAGTAAACCTACATCAGAGGACCTGAGCTGGTGTGATGGAACATAAGTGTGCAAAAGATTAGAGATATAGGGTGGTGCTAGGCCATGTAATGCTTTAAATGTCAGTAACAGGATTTTTGTAATGAATGCGTTCAGATACAGGACACCAGTGAAGCTGATAGATGAAGGGAGTAATGTGCTCTGACTTTTTTGTAGACATAAGAATTCTAGCTGCAGAATTTTGAATCTGTTGAAGAGGACGACGTGATTTAGCAGGTAGACCATATAGCAGAGATTTGCAATAATCTAATCTAGAGGTAAGAAAAGCGTGTAGCAAAGTTTCAGCATCGTTGTGTGGAAGTTTGGGACGAAGCCTAGCAATGTTACATAGATAAAGAAAAGCAGTCTTACGGACAGAATTAATATGAGGGATGRACGTGAGACAGGAGTCAAATGCAATGCCAAGACTGTGCACAACAGAGGATTGGGCGACTAAAACGTCAACAGAGAGAGTATAATTAGAAAAAGCAGAGATGGCTGACTTAGTACCAATAATCAAAGATTCAGTTTTAGAAGGATTAAGCTTGAAGAAGTTATAGTTGAGCCAGTATGTCATTTCCTGAATGCAATACAGCAATAAAGAAAGAGGAAAAGGGTTGGAAGGATTGAAATCAAGCTAGATCTGTGTATCATCATCGTAAAAGTGAAAGTTGAGGTCAAAGGATGGGATAATGTTACAAAGAGGAAGTATGTAAATTATAAATAAAAGTAAGAAATGCTCTCCACTAATAAGAAATCTTTCAGAATTCTTGTTTATGATCTCTGTTATAAAATAGGATGTTTTTCAGGATGCAGCAGTAAGAACAAACTCAGTGAGAGAACAGTACATGTTTTTTTCATTTTAAATAATCAATCAATCAATCAATCAATCAATCAATCAAACTTTATTTATAAAGCGCTATAACATCAGCCACTGCTGAAACAAAGTGCTGAACACATAAAATAAAAACTGAATACAAAAACACAATAAAATCACACAGTTAAATAAGTAAAATCAGCACCAACACAGTAAAAGTTGAGTAAAATCAAATCTCAGTTGGGTTGAAGGCCAGTGAGAAAAAACAAGTTTTTAAACGAGTCTTAAAAATGGACAGTGAAGGGGCCTGTCGGACATGCAAGGGCAAGGCGTTCCACAGTTTAGGGGCACTAACAGAGAAAGCCCTATCTCCTCTGAGCTTCCGTTTAGAACTGGGAATGACCAGGAGCAGCTGGTCAACAGACCTGAGTGACTGAGGAGGGGTGTAATGGCGAAGAAGCTCTGTTAAATAGGTTGGGGCAAAGTTGTTTAAAGTCTTAAAAACAAACAGGATTTTAAAATGGACTCTAAAACAGACAGGCAGCCAGTGGAGGGAAGCCAGGACCGGGRTGATGTGCTCTCTTCTACGTGTTCCTGTTAAAAGACGGGCAGTAGCATTTTGCACCAGCTGCAGACGTGCGAGGGATGACTGGTTTACTCCAAAATACAGTGAGTTACAGTAATCCAGTCGAGATGAAATAAAAGCATGGACCACTGTTTCAAACTGTTGCCTAAAGAATAGATTTTATCTTTGCTATTTTTCTCAGGTGATAAAAACTAGACGTAACTGTAGCCCTTATTTGACTGTCAAGTTTAAAATCACTGTCCATCTTAAAACCAAGGTTTGTAGCTGTGAGCTTGACATACAAAGCCAAGGGGTCTAAATCCACTGGAGGACTCGGGCATGCTCCACTAGGTCCAAAAACAAGTATCTCTGTCTTTTTTTTTTTTCATTAAAAAGATAAAATAAAATAAACTTGATCATTTAGACTGAACTGAACTGAAAGAACCTTGAGAGATGTTTCCCTTTGAGAAATCTCTACAAATAAAAGCAAATCAGAGGGCCACTTGCAAACTTTATTAAATAAATAAAAAGTGAKAGAAGCTTTTACTCAAAAATATGGATTCAAAACATAATTAATTAAATATTAGGTTAAAACAAATTCGATTTTTAAGTTTGGCACAATTCTGTTCAAGTTAGGGATTTTAATAACGTTATTTATATTTTTGCTGAATGAGCATGTATTTTGGACATCCTCTCCTCCTCCTCACAGTAATCTTCTGTTTATGCCCCTCCTCCTCAGGTATGGTGAACCGGGAGGTGCTGGAACAAGTRGAGAGAGGCTACCGGATGCCCTGCCCACAGGGATGCCCCGAGTCCCTGCACGAGATGATGAAGCTCTGCTGGAAGAAGGAGCCGGACGAGAGGCCCACATTCGAGTACCTGCAGTCCTTCCTGGAGGACTATTTCACCTCCACAGAGCCGCAGTACCAACCTGGAGAAAACCTATAGCCAGAGGAGGCTCATTAAAAGACTTCAGACGTCAGTGTCGCTCACACACACCACGCTTTCTTTTCTCCTGCGTCTGATCATAGTTTGATGCTCACTGATGGCGCTACAAGATGTTACTGTGTCATTTGTTTATGTAATTGRCTAAGTTCATGGGCACAAATGTTACTGTTTTAAATACATGTGAGAGTTTTCTGTTTCTGTGAAATAAGCTGTAATTAAGCCTTCAGAAGGGGGAAAAATAAGACAATTTGATTCGTTTTATATGGTTTAATGTGGAAATCTTTTACTCATCTGACTCTAAATTGTAGTTCTTTTAGATTTTTAGGAAATGTAGCATATGTAATTATACATACATACATATATATATATATATATATATATATATATAGTTTGAAAATAGAAGGTCTCAAGACGGTTGATGCTTTTTATCATGATTCATTTGAGGGTGATGTTCCAAAAGTAAATCCAACAAAACTTTACTTTATTTCCATTTTGCATGTTAAAGGTCACTTTGTGAGACTGGGATCGTGGCTTTTCTGCTTATTTATTTTATTTTTCATGTGCACATATTTATTACTGTATGAATTTTGTTTTATTACACGGACTTTGTGTTTTATGCTCTATTTCAAACTTTTCTTTCCAGTTCGCCACCCTCGAACGCTCACTGTCCTGGTTATTATCTGCTCACTATAATCATTACAGCTAAACGCTCTGTATAATGTGGTATCTGTGTGGTYTTACTGTGGAATCTGTGATGAAAACAATGAACTTTAGTGGCTTTTGGCCAAGCCGTCAAAAGATGCTAAGTTGCTTCCAGACAAGCACGGAGAAAGATTTTACTTCAAGAAAAACAAAATCTACAAAACTGTGACTGCTGAACTCATACACTACCTTTAAGACAACTGGGTGCAGTTTTTAATGTTAATCTCTGAATTTTGGACTCCTGTTATTAGAACTGATTGTAAAGAAGGTGATTTTTATATGGTTGTTGATAGAAATTAAAAACTGCTAACTGCATTTGGGGGGGAGTTTTTTGCTGAATATCTATGGGATTTATACAATAAAAAACATCTTTTTTTCCTGTTTAGAAATGTTAGCTGTTTCTTTAAGCGTTTTCTCTGTGGTAACTTTTTAACCAATGATCACGTGAAGTGGGCGGGACTTATCCGCTGCAGGTGACTTCAGAACGAATCCCTTTAAACGAAACTTTTTTTCAATTAAAGAAAAATGTTACACAAAATTATTAATTTGACAGTGACAGATGTACGTTTTCCGACGTCTTTGGAGCAGCACGGCTCAGACGCGATGGTAAGAAGTTTCTGCAGAAACAAACATGGCGCTGCAGGGTTTATTCAGTTCAAAACGAAGCCTCGTTCTTCTTCTTCTGTCCCCGCTCCTTTGCAGCACACAGACCCGGATTACTCAGCCGCATATGTGGTTCTGGATACAGACAGCGGACTGAAAGGGTTCGGACTCACGTTCACTTTGGGGAAAGGAACCGAAATCGGTGAGGGGGGTTCACAGTCCATGCAGCAGCAGTACTAACTTAATGATGCGTTCAAGTGCTCAGAACAAGCTCGGAATTTCAAATTAAACAGGGACAAAAAGGACTGCACTACTGTATAATAAAACAAAAGAGGAAATGACAAGAATTAACCACAGTCTAGAAGACACGACCATGTGAGGAATAAAAAAATGTGTCAAATAAGCCAAAGGTTAGCAAATATGTACAAAATGAGACTCAAAATAGACCTAAAAATGAATCCAAATGAATTAACAATAACATAAAAATAGCCACTATGAGACACAAAACAAGTAAATGGATTAGAATTGTCAAAGAAATGCCCGTGAACTATAAGAAATAAGACACAAGGATCAAATAGGTTTGTGTAATTCTGACTGTACTAAAGGAAACATTTCTTTTCCTCTTTACTAAAACAAAACAGAATCTACATCACCACCTGGTGGTCAGTTAGGTGATTTTATTTTTTTATATTTAGTTTTCAAATGCCGTACAAACCTAATGACTGTGTTAAAATGMCCCTTTAATTCATTTTACAAGCTATTTTAGTCTTCATAGTTAAATGAATACAGTATAATGTAAATTTTTATAATAATACATTCATAATAGTGTTTATTGAAGTATTAAAGTCTGGAGGCTTTCTTTTTTTAAATATAATTTAAAGACTGTTTTTGTTGTTTGGAACCCTGCAGTGGTGTGTGCCATCCAAGCCCTAGCAGGACTGGTTGTTGGGAAATCTTTGCAGGAGATTGTGAGCAATTTTCGAGGGTTTTACCGCCTGCTGACCAGTGATGGTCAGATGAGATGGGTAAGAGCAGATATGTAGTCATACCTGAAACAATGAATTTGATCCTTTATGATAAGCTTAACATTTCAAGCTCTTATAAGCTAATGTTTTTTTTAAACTATAAAAACTATTGCTGAAATGGATATGTATGCAGAATTGTGTTTTATCCACATTAAAAATAAATGTTTCTTTTAACATCCGTGCAGTTTTTATACCATATCATGTGTTTGAAGTTTGTAAGAAAACTAAAGTAAAAGTCAGGAAAGCTCGTTTTAGCTGCATGTCATTGAAAAATAACATCACACAGACAAAACACCGGCATCAAAAATAGTTTTTAATGTCAGTRATGTAATGCTGAATCAGTTAAAGTAATGTGTTTTTTTAGTTGGGTCCAGAGAAAGGCGTGATCCACTTGGCTACTGCTGCGGTCTTGAATGCTGTGTGGGACCTGTGGGCTCGAGCGGAGGGCAAGGTGAGGCATTTACAGTACACATAGAGTATCGTAATTAACATTTTCTCTTACAAACATGATACAGTATGACTCGGGGCCTGTTGTCATTGTTCCTCTGCAGCCGCTATGGAAGCTGCTTGTCGACATGGTGAGTCATAAATAAATGAGACGACTGATTTGTGTCGTGGATGTGGTCAGGACAGAAATATCTTTGTCTCGTCTGTCCATTCAGGATCCAAAGCTGATTGTCTCGTGCATTGACTTCAGATACATCACTGATGTTCTGACAGAGGAGGAAGCTCTGGGTGAGACGTGTTTGTGTCTTCGTTTTAGAAAAGAAAATGACATGCTTCTGATGGAGGTATTATCAAACCAGCAGACCTGCTTTGCTTCTATTTCTTATTCAGACATCCTCATGAAAGCACAAGAGAACAAACAGCMGAGAGGTGAGCACACTGAGGAGTTATTCTTTTCCTGGCCAAATGCGATTTTGCTGCATTAATATGTAGCTTCCTTAATGTGAGGGCTTTTAGCCAGCACAAAACCTCTAATAAAACCAATTTTTGTTGAAATTGTTTATTATTTATGGGGTTGTTTCTCTCACCTGTCAGAGGATCAGATGATGAAGGAGGGTTATCCTGCGTACACCACCTCCTGTGCTTGGCTCGGGTACTCAGACCAGCTACTCAAACAGGTCTGCACTGTAAAACACACATCACACAGCATCTCTCCTAAAATTAGTTATTTTTAATGACAGCCACGTGTTGTTGTTGTTGTTTTAGCTTTGTACCGATGCACTCAAAGATGGCTGGACGAAGTTTAAGGTGAAAGTTGGTGCTGACCTAGATGATGATATACGCAGGTGTAGTCTCATCAGACAAATGATTGGACCCAGTAACACGTTGGTAAGGTTGTGTTTTTTTTTTTACCACTACCCATTTCAATATGTTTAGAAAATGGTTATAAGAAGTGTTTCTGTGTTTAGATGATTGATGCCAACCAGAGATGGGACGTAGCTGAGGCCATCAGCTGGGTGTCCAGACTGGCTGAAGTCAAACCTCTTTGGATTGAGGAGCCCACGTCTCCAGACGACATCCTGGGTCACGCTGCAATTTCTAAGGTCAGACCTKTAGAAGTGTTACTTTCCAGGTTGCTCCTTCAAAAAGGACATGATGTTTTATTATGACTGTAAAGAGCCTCAGCTAACACCACAACATCTTCAGCCTCATTGAGCTCATTTCAAATGTGCATTTCTTTAATATGTTTAATTATCAGTAGTTTAACATTTTGTCATGAACTCTTCATGTCTTCTTTGGTTATGTTGTATTTCTCTGTGGGTTTTTATTTTATTTTATTTTTTTACCTTTTTTTTAGTAGTTTCTGTGGTGTCTTTGTGGATATTTTAAAATATTTTGGTTTTAGCAGTTAGTTAGTTAGTTAGTTAGTTAGTTAGTTAGTTAGTTAGTTAGTTAGTTAGTTAGTTAGTTAGTTAG